CCCTGACACAGCTCCAGCCGTTCCCTGGGTGCTGTCCCTGCTCCCCCAGAGCAGAGATCGGAGCTGCCCCTGGGGAGGAGCTGCAGCCCCCGCTGAGCTCTGCCCTCAGCCTGCTCTGCTCCAGCTGCACTCACATTCACACACCTGAGTTCACTCCAGACAGGGCAGTCAGGGAGGTTCTGCTTTCCTTATCCAGTTGCTCTGGAATTTTCCATGCCAGGTGACTGACCCACCCCTCTGGGATCAGAAGCCAGGTCACTCTGTCCAGGTACTCCCTGACATCCTTTGGAACAAAGACATTTCTTTTCCTTTTCCCCTGATCCTGTGCTGGTAAAAGTGTCATGCTCTACCCAGACCTGCCTGTTACTCCATGAAAAGGGTTGTCAGCTGCATATTTATTGCCTTTAAAATGACTTGGGGTCTTGTGGAATGAAAATCCAGGACAGTCCTTGCTCACATGGTGGCACCTCGGAGCTTCCTGTGCTCCCAGACACCGCCTGCTCAGGTGTGTGTGCTGGCACAGCTCAACTCTGCCCAGCTTTCCAGGAATAACCAAGCTTTCTGCACATAAAAGTGGGTATGTGGGGTGTGTGCAAAGCCCTGGGTTCTCCAGCCAGGGGTGCAGCACAGGACTGGCCTTTTTGGGAATGCTGTTTTGCCTGCCGGATCCCCAGCATCCCACACGAGCTGTCTTTCCTCCTGACAGCTTCAGGAATATACTCAACACTAATTTTAGCTCTCCCTCCAAGGTGGATATCTTTGAGGTTTGGGCACAATCAATGCCTTATTCATAAAACTACAAACACTGTAAAAAGAAAGGGGGACGGGACAGAAAGTGTCCCGCCCCAAAACGTGTCTGATCTCCAAGCAGCTGTAATTTTGGCTTGCTCAGAGAACAAGCTGAGGTTGTTCATTTTAACAGCCAGGAAAGGGCTGTCTGTTTATATTTAGGGCCTTGTAGATTTGCTCAGTGTGTGCAGGTGGCACATGAAAACATGGGATGATTTCTTACCGGGATAAGGCCGTGTTTTTCCTGGCCTGGTGTTAATTCTGTGTGAAGGCTCAGTGAGTAAGCACCGAAAATTTTCTTGTAGCAGTTTCTGGGGTAAGATTTTGTAGCATTTTGGATTGTTGTTTGGTGCTTCATCCTGCTGAATCTCTCCCGTGCACCCTCCTGCAGAGTTTTGCCCAGAACACACATTTTTAAGAGCAGGTTGGCAGCTCCTGTGACTTGGAGTCTGTAGGGCTGTGGCATTAGGGGTCATCACTCAGTTCTCACTGGATCAGTGTTAATAAACCCCTCTAATAAAAATAAATAGGTGGATGTAACACATGTTGCAGCAGGGATTTGGGTGGTGGTCCAGGATCTCAATCAACTTGATGTGTGCAGCTCTGACCTTCAGCTCTGCTCTGACCTCCACCTCCCACTAAACCCTGCCCTCACGTGGACGTGGCACTTGGGGACATGGTTTAGTGCTGAACAAGGTGGTGGTGCTGGGTTGGTGGTTGGACTTGACTTTTTCCAACCTCAGTGATGCTGTGATTCTCTGGGCTCTGTCTGAAGAAGTGTCTGAAGGAGGTTGTGCCTCCCATCAATCTCCAGCCTTGCTCCTTCACCTCTTGGCTCCAGGATCTGCAAAACCTGAATCAATTCTCACCTGGAGTCATCTTGATTTCAATTATTTGTGCTTGGCATGAGCTGGAGAGGACAGTGTTTCCAAAACAAGGCTTTTAGGCCTTGGCTTCTGGAGCTGGGTCCTTCCTGCTCATGCCCCAGAAATGCAAAGTCCTGCTCAAGATGCAGAAGAGACAGTTCTGCAGCTTGGCTGAGGTTGGTCCTTCAGAGAGAGCAGAATTCACCTGTGGAGCAGCAGAAATTGTTCCAAAATGGACATGTCACGTGTCTGAGATGCAGCTGAAGATGCTGAATTGCTCTTCTGGTTAAGTCTGGTCCAGCCAGACTCAGCACTCTGCTCTTGTGCCACCCCTCAGAAATGGCTCCCTGGCTGCTGCTCTGGCTCTGACAGCAAGCAATGACCTGGGCCC